GCGTTGGCCTGGTGGAGTCTGCGTTGGGTTTGGTTGACTCCACAACCATTATGTTATTACCGACAAAGACAAGGGTAATAACATGCTGCCTATATCATGCGCCGCTGTGCGGCTGCTGGTTGGGCTCGAGAGAGAGCCCATAAGGAACAACGGAACGAGTGAGTTCCGTATGAACGATCGGTGAGCGTCCCCTACCATTCCACAACCATTACCGTGTAACATGCACTAGGTAGAGGCTCATGCCCCGTCAGCGGCCGAGTGATATCTCTTCACAGCCAGCTTGACTCGGACAAGCCACACCAGTTTATGGCAGAGGGAAATGAAAGTGAGACAGATCCAGCCTCGATACAGCACATTTAAGTTCATCACTAGAAACAACCAAATTAACTTTACAGCCACTACGAGCGCTAACCCTCGTGGCGTGGAATGAGTCGGTTCTGCTATTGACTGAGGATCAAGCTGAAATTTTTCCTCAACGTGACATTATGACAGTCTTACTCGCTCGAGATCCGCGTCCTCTTCAAAGAAGCCTGATAAGACTCAGGAACTAGGTCATGTGTGACATACGTAGGCGGGCTGCTTGATTTTGTAGTCACCCCGCCCACAGCCATCTCCGTGCATCTTAACCTCATAGTGCTATAGGAAGACGGTAATTACGGAAAAAGAGACTGAGGTGAGTGGGGAGCAAGTGTATACGAATTCACGTGCAAGTCCCTGCCGCGCTCACTGCATGGATAGTGGTTGTTCTCATCGCTTGCAACAATCCAACAATAAGTGGGTAAGGTACGACTCTCATTTTTTGCACACAACGAATTCTCTCGGGCGGTTTTCTTTCTGTACGATTGTTCGTACCTTGGTCAAGTTTAGATCAATCACGGTTACAATATCAACAGACTTTTGACATTGCGCCGCCATGCGTCCCTTCACGAAGTGGAAAGGATTGAGTCTTCGCGCCGGCTTCTTGTACACCGTCCAAGTCTCTACTCCATACAACAGTGCCGGCAGGATGACCGCTTTGTGCATCATGAGTTTGGTGCTGGTGTAGAAACCGTGTCGATTTCAACCTGTGTTTTGTAGACGGACGAAGGCCTCGCTGGCTTTGGAATTCCGTGACGCGAGCCACCATGCCATCGTGGAGCTGACGCACCATCTGAGTGAATCGTTCGGGACAGTCGAATTTCTGCATGGTTTTCCACAATTCTTCGCGATTTACCGTATCGAAGGCATTCGTCAGATCCACTAAGGTAGAGCAGAGGTAGAGCCGCATCTCCTGACAATTCTTTTGAAGTTGGCGGACGGCGAAGATCATGTCGGTGGCTTTACGATGATGGCAGAGGCCACATTGAATTTCCGACAGGAAATTTTGTTCCAGATGATTGTTCGGGCGGATGAGAAGAATGAGAACGAGGATCTTATCGGCGATTATCAGCGGGAAAATGCCTCGGTGTTTGTCGCAGAGGTGATGGCTAACTTTCCGTTTATAGAGATAGACGATTTTGGTGTCTTTGAAGTTCTGAGGAACTTGTCTTCAACATCACATCTCCTAGAAGAGCGCCGTCAGGTGTTCCATAAGTTAGGGGTCATTGTGTTTGTGGATTTCAGAAGGGGTCGCGTCCGATCCGAGCGCTTGCTCATTGGAAAGCTGCTGAACCGCCCTGATGGTTTCATGAGGGTCGAGGGCGACGTTGTTCTACACTTGAGGCAGACGGGCGCTGGCGGCGTCGGAGATGATTGAAGTATGTTTAATGACGCTTCTGAGGTGTTCGGCCCATCCCTGCAAAATATGTGTCTACTGAATGAGTAGGGCACTGCCATCGGCGTTGAGAAGAGGAGCAGTTGCTTTGGTTGTGGGACCGTAGACAGCCTTGATCGCGGCGACTAACTTCTTCCATTCGTTGCGGTCCGTGTATCCTTGGATCTCCTCGGCCTTGTAAACCATCCAGGTTTCCTGCATCTCGCGTAGCCGCTGTTGCACAGGGCGGCGATTACGGTAGAAGGCTGCTTTGTTGTCTTCAGTAGGGCAATTGCCGTGGACTTTGTGCAGTCGGTTCTTCTCGGCGAGTAAGTTGCTGATGGTGGTGTCGTTGTCATCAAACCAGTCCTGATGTTGGTGTCGTGCGTGACCAGGGACAACCAGGGCCGTCGAGCGGACCGTGTCCCGCATTTGACACCATCGGATCTCCACGGAGGCGTCCTCGTCAGCGGTGGCACGGCGGTGACTGGAAGGCTGGCTAGCCGTTGAGTTATCTCATTGCTGAAATAGAGGTGATGGACAGGCCAAGACAACAAAGCAATATTTGCGTGGCCTTCTCTCGCATTGGGAGACGAAAGTAGGTGTTGGTCAGGAGGAGCCGGTGTTCTGCGCAGGTTCGTGGGAGGAGCAGGCCATTATCATTGGAGCCGTCGAGACCACAGGGACATAGCGCGCCTCTCCAGGCAGCGCAGTCTGTCGCGACGCGGGCACTAAAGTCGCCAAGGGCAACCAGCTTGCTCGCCTTTGACGTAGGCGCTATGAGGGCGTGCAGATCCTCATAGAATTTGTTCCTTACAGTGTCAGGGCTGGTCATCGGGGAAGCGTAGACGCTGATGACCGTGGTGAATTTGCCTCCTAGGAGAGGCTGGTGGAGGCTAATCAGGCGATTGTTGACGTCCTGCGACAGACAGGACAATCGTCTCACGATGTCGTTCCGAATGACTAGGGCGACACTCGCATCTCGTCGCTATGCCTTGGGACGACCGCTCCAGGAGAAGGCGTAGCCGGCACCTACTTCTTCCAGTTGACCTTGTTCGAAGAAGCATACCTCGCTGAGTGCAGCGATGTCCACGTTGTATCGTGCCAGTTCACGAACGACCGAAGTCCTTCTGCTTTCCGGCCGGTTGCTCCTGGGATGGTCTAAAAGGGAACCAACATTCCAGGCTGCAAGGGTGAGCGGACCAACCATAGCAGCCTATGGGTTGTGGCGATGTGGAGAAGGGAAGGGAAGAGAGTGCTGTTTCTTGCTTGGTTGTTTCGACCGTGTTTTTTGCGTCTGCGAGCCATGGTTTGTGCGCAGATGTCGTGGACCCACCCTTGTTTAGGTTACCTTTTGTAGTCCCTTTCCCTTCGCGGGGAAAGGCAGTGCTCTCCTTAGATAGGGTTGCTTTGTCGCACCGGGGGGATTCCGCTCTGCACTGTGGGTCACGGCGTTTAGTAAGAGAACGATCAATGGCTTGAGCCGTCTACGTAGCTGCATGCCGCCCTCGAGATGACAAGAGAGAGGAGTAGGAAAAGGGAGAAGAGACGTAGAGAGGGTGAGAGGGGAATGGGAGCGAAAAGGAAAATTACCGTGTGTGGAGATACACACACGGATTGGCAGCAACAATAAAACAAGCGACAATTATAGGGCGTGCTAGTAAATCATCAATCGATGGCGTAAGACTGGAGGTGGCTGTGTGGGGCTCAGTACTTCGGGATATCTTAGTTTTGGGTTCCGGATAGCCAAAAGGCAACGTCAGTAATGAAAAACCAGATATAAAACAAATGATGAAGTTTCTCCGTTGCAAAAAACAATTTTTTGATTTACCTGCTATACTTCACAGAGGACAATCCTATAAAGCCCTACGTTTACAAGCACGCACTTCTCTAGTCTTTTCACTGCAGGAAGAGACAAAAGCAGATTACAGCAGATAAAACAGTTGTTTCATGCAAATCAGAACGTATTATTTGAAAGGCTGTGACGGCCAGCATACTAGCTTGGGTGCTTGTACTAGGCTTTTCATTAGAAATTCGAACTGGGGCTAGGAACAACCCACTACTAGGATAACAGCACCGTAAAGATGCGAAATGTTTGATATTCAGTGTTGCCACATATTTCTGACCGTCCAACAAAGGGCTCGACATGGGCCTGAAGTGGTGAAGAAGACAGTATGTAAATATTTCCACTTCACTTTAGAAAAAAGCTCCTCAATCTTCCGCATCCCGAAGACGCATAACTGAGTGGTTAGAACTTAATGCCTTTTAATCTAGGATCTCTGCTTACGACACACATGAGGAGCCGAAATCGCAGTCAAGCGTTAGTCACTGAAAGTCAAGAAGCAGGCGATAGGCCCTTAAACCTATGCGATTCCGCTGACTTCCATGAGAAAGCAAATCAACATGGCAGTGTCATTTGTCAACTTCTGGAACATGATCTTCTAGGTGTGCCTTGGAACTCAATCTAGCGCCATCGAAGACAGCCACGGGGCAAATAATAATGCAAAATAAGTACCGAAAAATATATCGGAGACCGAAATGGTATCCTACTCCGAAGTCCTTGGTCTCGTCCCTATGCAAACCTGGCTGAGGCTATTGTTGGCCAATAAACTCGCGTCGTCTGGCGGGGCCTCGTAGCTCAAGTGGTTAGAGCGTTGGCTGTACTAAAGCCTTCCTCTTACTGCGTCGGCTCGAATCCTACCGAGGCGCCGAGTTTCTCACAGTCGGGTCAATATGAAATTCAAGAGGGACTGGTCCGGACACCTCCGTCCTTGTCGATACTTATTCTCCAAAGAATGAATTTTCACGCAATTTATGCTTTCTAGAGCAAATTTGTCACACGGGTCTTGAGGGATATGAAAAAAAACATGCTGAAAAGCCCCTGCAGCCTATCTGTCGCTATCACACCTGATGCAAAAGTACATTGAGTGACCGATCTTATGAAATGTTAACCGAAATTCTGAAATGAGTTTTCCAATAGGGAGGATTATTTAGGTGCGGTTACAATATTGATTATCATGCGGCAAAACTGTATAATGTTTCCGGCTCGCCAGGATGTCGACTTTTCAATGCGTTTCTTTTGACCCCCTGTGGAAACCGCAGTCGGTGAGAAATGACTACTTAATCAGCATGCATTTTTCACATTGATTTTTGATGTTCATATAAATTCAAACATATTTTACATAAAACGCAAAAAATATTCTTTCTTTTACTCGTCTGAGAATCACGTGATTTCCACATTTTGTACCCGAAGAAAGTGCATATTTAGCTTTCGAAAAAGTTTCCAATTGTGAGATTTTTAAGACCGTGCAGTGTCCATTCATGCAGCATCGCACATGTCCGTTTGCCAATGCTTCTACTGGAATGTAGAACATAGTCCGCATCCATTGCCATATTTTGTGAACTCTACATGGTATCTTTTTAAAGCCATCGAGGAATAAATGATTTTCACTAAACCGAAATCAAGCACCTTGTAGACTGAAATCGTTAAAAGCTAATGCAACAGCTAACCAGGCTCAAAATTAATCGGGCATCGATACTCTTACAAAACTCTTACATGCCCTTTATTCAGGTATGAAATGTAAAGGCAACGTGATTCTCTATCAGACGAGTAAAATAAAGCACATTTTTATGTAAGTTTTACATAAAATATGTTTGAATTTACATGAACATCAAAAATAAATGTGAAAAATGCATGCTGATTAAGTAGTCATTTCTCACCGACTGAGGTTTCCACAGGAGGTCAAAAGAAACGCATTGACAAGCCGACATCCCGGCGGGCCGGAAACATTACACGGTTTTGTCGCATGATAATCAATATTGTAACCGCACCTAAGTAATCCTCCCTAATGGAAAACGCATTTCAGAATTTCGGTCAACGTTTCATGAGATCGATCACCCGCTTTATGCAATAATTAGTGAAGAATTTATTTTGAACTAAATGCGAAAAATCCGGCGATCCCGGCGGGATTCGAACCCACGACGGAAGGAGTCGTGTACGGCCGACGTTCTAGCCATCCCAGCCGCGAGGCCCCACCGGGAGTCGTGATTTCAAGCGCATTAAATTCAAGCTACTCGCCCAGCCTACAGCAACATATGGAATCTACCGAATTCGATACAGTATGCTGACTGCCCAAGCAGGATTTCGAAAGCAATTCATCTACAATCCACCGGATGACTACGAGGCTCATGTAATTGATGGGTTGGAATCCCACCGAGGTCGACAAGTTTTCACAGCTCTGATGCAATAAGCTGACTGCCCAAGCAGAATCTCTAAAGCAATTAATCTAGAATCCACCAGATACCTACCAGGCTCACGTAATTAATGGGTTTTGGCAGATCGTTAATGAATTATTTGGCTGCACACAAGCCTTCCCCTTGATGTCGTAGGTTTAAATCCCAACAGCTCGCTGTTTCCCACAATTTAATCAACTTACTTAAAATCTGCCAAAACACCTAGTAATGAGAGGAAAAGACGGATTCCGACGACAATAATCCAATCCATAGATATTTCGGCAGATTTTGAATAATTCATATTGACCCAACTATGAAAAACTCGGAGCCTCGGTGGGATTCGAGCCCACGCAGTAAGGGGAAGGCTTTAGGACAGCAAACGTTGTAACCACTTGATCTACGAGGCCCCGCCGGACAACGCGAGTTTAATTACATTTGGGTAAAGTTACCCGCCCAACCTTCTGCAACGTCTGGAATCCACCAAATCTGACACAGTAAGTTGACTGTCCAAGTAGGATTTCCTAAGTAATTTACCTAGAATCCACCAGACGACTAGCTCGTAGCTCAAGTGATTAGAGCGTTGGCTGTACTAAAACCTTCCCCTTACTGCGTGGGTTCGGATACCCCCGAGGCGCCGAGTTTTTCACAGTTGGGTCAATATGAATAATCCGATCGGTGGCCGTAGGCAATGCTTGAGTCAACATGCGGTCCCGCAATTGTGATACTTCACATGAGGGACTCACTTTCTTCTCTTGATTAAGGTATAGCAGGAAGGTAAAGAATCTGTGAACCTCTTTCGATGCCAGAGGGAAAAGGGGGATAAAAATACCCCCCCCCCTGTTTTTGTCGTGTTTAGACATTCTCAGCTCTCTCCCCTTTGTTCATTGGTTATTTTTCACCATTCGCTGCCCTACCATGAGGCATGCATGTTCCTGCACACGCCTGATGATTAGTAATTGAAAACGCACATTTGTCCATTTTGACTTCTTCAAGATAAAAGCTGTTTCGTAAAAGGCAAAAGCAGTTTTCCCGAAGGAGAAA